AAAAAAAAAAAGTGTTAAAATATTAAATTTCCTTTAGAATCGAATAACTTTTTCTTTTGGAATACACCACCCCTCTTAACTGTCCAGTTTCGGTCCCGCGACTGTTGGACATGGCGACTTGTAATTTCCATACCGATCTTCTTCGAAACGTAGACTATTTTCTGTTATTCCTCTCAGACACGAAATCTCGACGTCTACTCCCTCGAAGGCAATCTACGGCGAGGAGCACCTTGCCCCTGAAATCATGCAAATGAACGAGCAATTCCTCGACGCATTGAGCGACGCTCGAAAGCCGAAGGACGCGCACACGCAGACCGAGGACGACGATCGCCAGGAGCAAAGATCGAAAGGTTCGAACGAAGTCAACCTCGTGGACGAAGCACAGAAGAGGCACAGAAAGACGTTCTTCAAGTGCAAACGTCCGAAGGAACAATCTGAAGCGAATCACCGCGAGCAGAAGACACGCGACACGCGAGCCTCGAAGAGATTGCCGCAGATCGCGGAGAAAAGCGACGAAAAGTACGCAACGCAACGAAAACCGATCGAGAATCCGAGGAACAAGCCCGACTCGGCGAGGTCTCCGTCCGACGAGAGCGTCTGCGAGTGCGTCAAAGCTCAGAGTAGTGAGGTCAAATCGGACAGAAGGCGCGAGATGAACAGGAAATGCACGGCGAGATGCAAGGTGGAGACGTTCGGGACGATTCCGTTCTCGCAGGTCGTCCGACCGGCGATATTCGACTCGGTGATCTATCGCAGGAAACCGCCGGCGTACCCGAGGTGGGCAAAGAGCCAGCCTGGAAACGTTTCCAACGCTGCGAATTCGAGAAAGGCGTCGTCCACTTTCAAAACACTCGCGGACGAAACGTCGAAGAAGCCGGCGGACAAACAATCGGCGGTGCACAGCCCGAGGAAGTTCAAGTGGAAGAGCCGAGCGGAGGAGACGGAGTCTCGGGAGATGCGAGCACTAAAGGCGTACAACGAGGTCACGCTGCTGAAGGACAAGAAAGCGCTGGATGCGAGGAAGAGACCAACCGCCGGAAGGCAGCAGTTGGCTGCAGTTGCGACACCCGAAAGCTCGAGAACTCACTCGAGGAAGAACAGGCCGGATCGTTGCAAGAGGAACGTTCCCCGGAACGTGGACGACTACCTCGACAAGGAGAACTTGTTCGTGGACGCGACCACGGAGACCGAGCCATTGCTGAATATACCTGTTAAGAACAGTAAAACGTTCGTCACGACGAACGATGGAAGGAAAACTTTGCTCTCCTGCTCCAACAAGCTGTCCAAGGTGAACAAAATCGCTGACAAACTGTTGTTGGACAACTTCGATCGACTGGTTGGTGGACAGGCGAAGGGGAGCAAGAGGACTGGCGAAGTGGAGACGAAGAAGCAGCACACCAAATACAGCAGACCAACGAAATTGACGAGAGAGGAGGAGAACAACGATGGTTCGATGGTTTCGATGAGGAAGTTGGAAGGCACGCAGAAAGGTCAAGATTTGGAGAGGACGCCTGGCAAGAAGGACGTCAGAGGTCCTCTGGAGATCCCTGCAGCGTCTTCTGACGTAGATTCATGTCTTCTCGCTGAGAATGAACGAGACAAAGAGACTTCGACGTCTGCGAACCTCTGCGTAGACTTTGGCGCCCAAGCTGGACGCCTGCTGACGGTGGTGAAGCCTACGACTCAAGACGTTGCCTCCTCGTGGTCTTCCAGCACCGTTGAAGCACAGGAGGATGAACCATACTTCCCGGAACAAGGTAGCAAAATTATTTTGAAATGATGATGTTCCAGGTGTGAATAACTTTAACTGGATCTCGGTTTTATTAGAACTACGGATTCGAAAAATCTTCTTCTCGCTGAACTTCTCGACCTCGACTCTAATCAACTATCGATTTTTTCTTTTTTTTTTCATCAAGCCTCGGTTTTTCTCCTAAACACTCCCAATTGGCTTTTAAGTCTTACAATTAGCCAATTAGATTCACTCGAAATTCCGCTACTCGTCGCGCACTTTTTCAAGAGCGCGGATGCAATTTCAACAATTGGAGACGACGCAGCTTACACTCGCGAGCTGTTTCGCAATATTTCTCGGTTTACGTGTTGAGCCTTCGACAACCTAGGATTTACGAAAGCTTGCAAATGCTATTATACTAAATGCTTAACCTAACCTAAATGCTCAATCTAACCTAAATGCTAGACCTAACCTAAATGCTAGACCTAACCTAAATGCTAGACCTAATCTAAATGCTAGACCTAACCTAAATGCTAGACCTAACCTAAATGCTAAACCTAACCTAAATGTTAACCCTAACCTAAACTACAGGTTTTATAAGGATATTGTTCTACACACTGAAAAAACAGAATTTGACTTTCTCACGGTCAGTTCAATAGCTTCGTCGATGCATGATTTCTTTTAACTTCCCCGTTCTAGAAAAATAAACTTTCTCGAACGTGTGTTCGGCCAGCCGCTGCAATCTGAATGAAAGAAAAATTACGCGTTTGTTCTTGTCTTTTTTTTCTCCAGACGATGCTAGCACACAGACGACTGAGCATGGAGCAACATCCGAACACGAAGAGAAACGTCAAACGGTGAAAACCGAGGATTACGAAAAGGAAAATGAATTAGCATCGGAAACGGAGGAACCAGCAACACTGAAGACAGCGGAAAACCAAAATGAATTTGATCCGGTATCAAAAATGGAGGAATTCGAATCAGCGTTGGAAGAGCAAGCGAAGGGAATTGACCGAATATCGGGTGCAGAGGAGCGTCGAAAGGAGGCTTCGAATATCAGAGACGATTGTCAAGGACAAGTGGAAGAGAAAGAAAAGGAGGAAACGAAAGAATCGATAGTTTCGGATGACGTTCCTCGGGACGAAGCAAAGGAGAATGTGGAAGTTCGAGGAGACGGCCTCGTGGAAGAGGACAAAAAGGAAGAAACGAAAGAAACTTTGGATGACGTATTTCCAAAGTCCACAGAAGTCCTTCGGAACGAAAGAGAGACCGTGCGAGTTCGAGGGGACCGTGGCCTCGAGGTATTGCAAAACGAACCTGAAACGATCTCGCGGAGACTAATCTCGAATCTGTCGGATCTCGCGGGCAGCATCGACATCAACTACGTGATTTTAAACAGCTTCGACGCGCCGAGAGAGAGCGACACCCCCGTGTGGGACATCGTGGACGAAGATACCATCAGAACCCTGCACAACATGTTCGCCTATCGATCATTGGACGCTAGTTTCGATCTGTCGGGGGAGTTTCACACCATGGAAGAAATTTTGAACGGCAGACAGACGGTGTCGTCGTCGTCGTCGTCGTCGTCGTTGGACGATTTTATCTTCCAACCGAGTATAGACTTCCCAGCGAATCTCTCCATGTACGAGCACACCGCTCTCCGCGCGATGATTCGTCCGCGTCGTGGTTTGGAGGAAGAGGAAGAGGAGGAAGACGACGGTGAGGATTCGCTGTGCGATCTCTGCATCACCTCGATCGATCGCGAGCATCTGCCCGAAATCGACAGCTTCGAGATCGAGGAGATCTCTGCGGAGCATCCAATTGTCAGCGAGCTTGGATTGAACGACTTGCTGATCCAAGTGGTCCGAATATGGAGAAGGTTGAACGTGCGCGGATTGCTCAGCGGAGTGCTCGAGACTCTTCACGATCCGCTGAACGACGACAGAACTGATACATCTCAGTTGGTATCATCTCACGACGAACGAGAGGATGACGAAACACATAGAGGATGCTCGCTGGAGGATCAAAGGGTGTTGAAATTCTTTCAAGACGATTGCCTAAGATTCGTCAACGAAGACATCTTCACGAACATTAAATTTCCCGTTGTGATCAACTTGACCGACGCGATCCCTAATAGCCTAGAGGTTGCCTTCGACGACCAGGAGGATCCAGAGGACACAGAGCTTGACCTTGACGTAGTGCTCGAACAAGCAGAGCCGAGTAAAACGAACTTGTTCTCTCTGATGGACGACGAACACGAAGCTGACATGGAGTTTATTAACGAGATCGGCGACGAGGACGAAGAAACAACGAGAAACGAATACCTCAAGACGTTGCAGAGACTCTCCTCGATGTCGATCGTCAACAGCTACGACGCTTTCGGCAGGGTATTGCACGATGAGAACGAAGCTTCTTACTCGAAAGATCAAATTTTGATCGCCAGTTGCGCGAACAAGTTGAAAAAGTGCATGCTGGTACGTTCGGTGCCGGTGCAGCGTCGCAGGGGGGACTTGAATCGCACGTGCGAAGAAACGCTGGAGGAGATCGAAGAAACGCTGGAAATCGTGGAGAGAAGCATCGACAGCGAGGAAATTATGGATGAAATTATCATGGCGACCGAGGATGTCGAGGACGTTGAGAAACTGAGAACGAAAGACACGGACGAGCGCGAAGAAATCGAGAAAATCTACAAATACGAGGATGTCGATGAAGATGCCGCTCTTCCGGTTGCCAAAGAAGACACGCAAGTCGAGGCATGCAAGAAAGAAGCGGAGATGATCGACGAGAATATTCAACTGGTGGAGTTGGATGGCGAAGAGGACAATTCTCTCGAAAGAACGAATTCGAACGAGCAAAGAATCGTCACCCTGTACACGATCCTCACTTTCTGGATGCTGGTGTTCTGCTTTTACGTTCGATACTTCTATCAGAAGATCATTCTGTTTAAGCAGGCGTCCACGTCCACGTCGACCTTGAAACCCTTCGAGATTCACGCGGTGCCGACATCGACGACCACGTTCCTCGAAAATTCGATTCTGATCGATCGAATCGAAGCGAAGGAAACGGAAGAAGAGCTGGATGAGGACGATTCGTTCGACAGAATCGTCGACCTCGAGATGATAGACGTTTCTCGATTCGACGAGTACGACTCGGTGATGAACTTCGACTCGACCCTGTACGCAACGCTCTCAAACAGTTTGATAGTCAAAGCGTTGAACGAAGATGATTCGAAGGGAACCGACGAGTCCGCCGTGTGTTTGAGGGAAAGAATTTTAGGAAATATCGAGATTTGTCCAAACGAGTCGCAGGGAGAAGAGATAGAAACCTCAGTGGAGTCAGATTCGAGAATGCAGCCGGTTTCCCTAACGTTGAACAGCGAATTCACCGATTCATCGTTCGCTATTGAGCCGAAGGTTGAAGAGGACTCGCTGGAACTGCGTCTAGCGGCAGAAGAAATCGAGACGCTCAGGTACAAGCAAGACGACGATTTCGACGATCTGCGTGAAACGAAAGTGAGAAGAAACGCTGTGGCGGCAAAGTTTGTCAAAGTTCGCGGACGATCGAGCGAAGATGAAGACGAAGAAGAGAAACGAGACGAGCGTTCGAGTTCGGAGGCAAATTTCATGCAGATGCGGACAAATGACAGTTTCGATTCCACGTACACGGCAATTTCGCAGGTGTCGAGGAACGCAGCTTCCGCGATCGATCTCAACGACTCCTCGATGGAAGAATTCGCGATCGCTTCGAACGAATCGGGCGAGTCGAACGAAGGCATTTGAACGAAATTCATTTTTTCTTTTGGTATTCTCAGTTTCGTTCTTTTGTATTTTTCCTTCTTCGCGGTGAATCAATTTTAACTCTCTTCGCTCCCCTTTTAAGAAAAACAGAAGCTGAAGAACTTCTTTTACTTTTGTCTCATCTCTTTTGTAAGAAATCGTTGAGATTTTCTTTGGAGAAGAACGACAGACGTTCACATCGACAGATGATTGAAAGATACTTAAAGTCTTTTCAGTTTTTCCTTTTTTTTTTTTCGGTTCAAAGGCGTCTAATTTTGCGAGAAACATTGTTCATTTATCATTTGGAAAAGAGAGTAGGCCGATTTTATTTAATATTTCTTACTATTCATATTAATTAACTTACTGATCTGCGTTTTTTCTTCTTTTTTTTTTTTTTTAAATGATACGAACGAAATTAAATTTTCTTTCTCCTCGATGCAATTCGAAAGTGTTGCTTGTTTCTTTTAACCGACAAATAAACGATATAGTATTTCAAAGTGATAATTTTCCTTTATATATAACTATATATATGAATGATAATTTCTTTGTCCATTTGTCAATTTCATTTATCAGTATCTGTATATTTAATTTGCACAGCGTTTTCCAAGCGAGATTCGTTCAATTCGGCCGACCTCTTATCCCGGCTCTCTTATTGTATCGCTCAACGAGCTTAATATACTTCATTAAATACAGTTCCTGTTTGCCCTCGACATCTTTTTAACCATCACTTGTTCGTTCAATTAACTTTCACCGATTTTCCATGTCTTCGTATCGTTTAGAGAAATTTCTCGAATTTCCAAACGTTTGATTATTTCGATGTTTCAATGCTGCAAACTTAATTAAAATACGACGATACAACGTTATTCAAATATCCTTCGCTTGATCAATCGATCATCTTGCTTTATTCACTGACAATTATCCAAAGTGTAGATATTGCACAATTAAGCCTTCGACTGGCGATTGTTTGATCGGACTCTCATTAGTATTCAGACATTCAGGCGTGACTCTCATTAACATTGAACTCTCTGTTCACCTGAGAATTCGATTAATAATTAGCAACGAGGCAGAAGTTGAAAATGCAGCATGAAAGTAAAATTTTAAATAAACTTGTAACTTCCAAAGTTCGAAAATTGACTTTCGTTGATATAAGCTAAATATTGAAGTTATTGTAATTTTATTTTATTGAAAAAAAAAAAAAAAAAAAAAATCGTGCAACAAGCCTTCATTTTAAAGCTCGAAGACTCTACTTTGTAAGATGCGTGCGTTTAACTTGTTCTGATGTGTTTTTACGTTACATAGCGAGTAAGTGAAGATAAATATTTTTCTTCTCAAGTGTGCTGTAAAATGTCATGGTATGCAAATATCATTGAAAATGTTTTGAATCCGAATGACGGATTTGAAAATTGAAGTCTCCTCTTTACAAACGACCCTGAGAAACTTGATGTATGATTCGTTCTCGCCATTTTTTTTTTTTTTTTTTTTATTGAACCTTGAATATTAAGTTCAGGCGACGAAAATTTAAGAAGTTCGTTCCCGCCTGGTATTTAAAGTTCAATAAAATCGGCGAGAACAAATCGCACAGCAAGTTTTGAAAGTTTATGTGCTATATAATCTAAAACTATTTTAGAATAAAATGAACGACGTATTTATAAAAGTAGAAGCATCGAGCTTCAAATTTGTTATTGTACAATGTCTCTGTTTTTACAAAATTTCAATATTTAATGTTATTGTAAGCATGTATATTGAAAAATAAACCTAACCTAAATATAACTCAAGCCTAACCTAAACCTAAGCTTAACCCAAACCTAACCTAAAAACTACTGTGAAACTCGACATTCCTCCTTTCTCTCACATACAACTATCTTTCATAAATTCGAATGAATTTCACAGTTTCGATATTTAAGCGTCCGAATATTAATGTCACTGCATGACATATCGAAAACTAAATTTTCGTTTCCTGAGAAACTGCTGAAACACATACAACTATCTTGGAAGAATATTAATCTCGAATGAGAATAATTGAAATTCTCGAGGTTATGTCAGATGTGCGAGCAATATATTTTCTGATACAGGCAGAAGTGAAGTTCCAACTGTCGATCGGTCAATTAGCCAATTGCCAGTCGTTCAACTTTCGACGAACGATAACTATAATAGAACACGAATTCTTTCTAATTTTAATACATTATTATTGTACGATTTCTTCTTGCAAAATTACAACTAATGTAGTTTCAATATTTAACCCTTTGACACTCGACTGTCCCTTTTAAATTTTGCTAACAACTCGGACTTCAACAACTTCCTCTTTTTATAATTGATACTGACAATTATAACGAACGTTTAACATTCGCTGTTGTACGATACGATATAATAGTATAATAGTATAATATCTGAACAGACGTCCAGAGTAAAAATCATAACAGCGACGTAAGAAGAACAAAAGAAGAAATTTCTGAAGACCAGAGTCCTGAGTCAATTAACATTCAATAATTCATATAATTCATAATTCTCACGGAAGTTCGAAAAATAGCGGAGGATATTATTTTTCCAGAGATTGAAACTATGTATCGTCAACTCTTGTACATTATACTTGTTCTAGCAAACCACGATGCTTCAAATTTAAACGATATTGGAAAGCTTGTTAATCAGCAAAATTTCGTGTTTAAATACCATTTGAATGATTTGAATGATTTTATTACTATTTTGTTAACTACTTTAATACTTATAATACTAATACTATAATACTAATGTAATTTAGTACTAATATTATAATACTAATATAATTTAATACTGATACTATAATAATTTAATATATAACATAATGCTAATACTATAATAATTTAATATATAATTTAATACTAATACGATGATAATTTATAGTATATATAATAATAATAATTTAATATACAATTTAATGCTAATACTATAGTACTAATACCATGATAATTTAACATATAATTCAATACTAATACTATAGTATTAATACCATAATAATTTATAGTATATATAATAACAATTTAATATATAATTAAGTATTGATACAATAATATTATAATACTATAAATATAA